AGAGAGAAGGGGAAAGAGAGAGAGAGAGAGAGAGGAGAGCCTCTCATTGAGCGGTGCCATCGGAATAACAGTTTCATTCTCATTCTCGTTTCCCTCTCTCTCTCTCTCATTGGATCCTCTCTTCTTCTTCTTTCTCTCCATTTCCAAATTTCACATGCCATCCATCTTCTACACCGTTCTTGTTTCCAAGTAATTTCCGTTTGGATTTGAAAGAAGAAGAAGAAGATGAGCGTGATTTCACGTAACATATGGCCGGTCTGCGGAAGCCTCTGCTGCTTCTGCCCCGCGCTTCGAGAGCGATCCAGACATCCGATTAAGCGTTACAAAAAATTGCTCGCTGATATTTTTCCTCGCTCACCGGTCAATTTTCTCTTTCCTATCACATTCAATTCCATTTCTCATTTCTAATCTCTGATTAATTAATCCTGATATTAATTATTAATTAATTAACGATGTTTTTGCTGTAATCGCTGATTGTAGGATGAAGAACCGAATGAGCGTATGATCGGCAAGTTATGCGAATATGCCGCCAGGAATCCTCTCCGCGTCCCTAAGGCATGTATATCGCATTCTCTTTAAGTTTTGTTCGAATATTAATAGATGTTTCCATAAGCTCTTATAAGAAGGTGATATGTTTCTTTCTAAGTTTTGGTTGAATAAATTTTTCTATAACAACACTTGTAAGGTGTTATGTTTTGAGTTTCTCGGGGCCTAAAATTAACTTTAATACATCTTAAAATTTGGAGACGTTAAATAAAAAAAAGCTTCTATAAAAGTTAATTGCATGAAATTATTTTAGTTTATTATCTTTCGAAGACATTAAATAATTAGAGCTTCAACAAAAGTTAATTGCATAAGTTGATTTTAGTTCATTAGTTTTTGAAGACATTAAATAATTAGAGATTCAATTTAAGTTAATTTCATAAGTTTTTAATTTATTTTACTTTTTTTTCTTTTTTCTTATTAGTGTTGATGGAGAAATTTAGTCAGACATGAAGGGCTTAATTCTAATACTACGTATCTATCTGTTTTTCTTATACTTACAAATATTATGTATCTCTTTGTTTGTTTCAGATAACCAGCTATCTAGAGCAAAGGTGTTACAGGGAGTTGAGAACTGAAAACTACCAATCTGTAAAGGTTGTTATATGTATCTATAGGAAGTTGTTGATTTCTTGCAAAGACCAAATGTGAGCTTCTTTATCTCATTTTGAATTCACTCTTTTCAAATTAAGGTTCGGATAGGATAAACTTCTCTGCTGCTATATGGAGAAAAAGAGACAAGATTAAATAAATTTATCTCATTAGTTGAAACAAGCTTTAAGAGAAGCTAATACGAGAGATGTTTATAAATAAGCTTTTAGTTTACAGGAGGAATTTATTTCTTTTTTTTTTTTTTTAATTTTCTTCTCCTGTAACTGTTTGTGTTCATAGAGAAGTTTATCAAAATAGGGTCTAGTTTCTAGTTGCATCAGCTTTCACACTCTCCAATGCATCACTATGATTCATCACTGTCAGTAAAATAGTTAAGGGGCTTCGAATAAGAGTGTGTTTAGAAAATATGTGAAAATTAGGTTATTTCAATAATCGATAATATCTATAATTGATTGCAATCAGAATGAGTTTTTGTTTGAGTAAATTATTGAAAAGTGATTTTGAGATGTTTAATTTTGTTTGGATATAACAAAAAATCAGTATTTATACAGTAAATCAGTTTCAGAAGAAAAAGAGTTTTTGAAAAATAATAACAAGGTTCAAATTTTCAGATTCTTAAAAACAGCTTTTTTTTTTTAGAAAAAAAAAGTTATTTGTAAATTGAATCAATTTTACCGAACATAATTTTTTTGAAAAACAACTTTTTTCAATGAAAACAGCTGAAAATATGGGAAATTGTCTTTCCCAACCATGCACTATGGAGCCGTGTCTTCGTTGCATCTACATAACATCGTGTCATGTATCTTAACACAAGCCTCCACATATTGTGAAAATAGCCTCCTAAGGAAACAAACACAAGCTGATTTTCCCTTTCTTATGCCAGGCCTTTGTTTGCGAGTAGCTTGCTTAGCATCATACAGATTCTTCTTGATCAATCAAGGCATGATGAAGTGCAGATTTTAGGATGCCAAACTCTGTTTGACTTTGTGAACAATCAGGTGGGGGATTTTTGGTAGGTTTGCTATTTTTGAGTTTGTTGCTAGTTCATTCTTTGTTTAATAAATTTATACAACAGTGCTAGTTTTTTCATGCGAAAGCTTCAAGTGTCTGGTATGCTCTTATTTGTGCAGAGGGATGGTACTTATATGTTCAATTTAGATGGATTCATTACAAAACTCTGCAATCTAGCTCAAGAAATGGGAGATGATGTCAAAATACAACATTTGCGTGCTGCTGGCCTTCAAGTTCTTTCATCAATGGTAATTAGAATCTCACATGGACATATGCTGTCTACTGTTCTGTGCTCTTTTCAATTCTAATCCATTTTTCAACACACCAAAATAGAGTTATAAAAACAGAGGATAATGTAGGGTGAAGTAAAATTTTTAAGATTGTTTCCATGTTTTACAGGTTTGGTTCATGGGTGAATTCACACATATCTCAGTTGAATTTGACAATGTAAGTAATATTTTTTATTTACTTAGATAATGTTTTTGCCCTTAATTGGGTAGAAAAAAGCACATTAATGATTGGTTGTTCTTCTTAAATCAGTGCACTTTCTTTGACCCAAAACTAGGTGTTGTCACTAATTCTATAGAGTTTTTTAACATATTACATACTGATTGTTGTTTGTTGTTCTTCTTAAATCAGCGCACTTTCTTTGACCCGAAGCTACATGTTTAATAAATCTGTCACTAATTACTCATTGTTTTTTAACATATTTCTTTGTACACCTTATAATAATAGTTCCATGGGATCATTTATCTTACTCTTCTGTATACATTTGCATTTGACAGATTTGTGCATCTCTTGTTAACTCAGGTTGTTTCAGTTGTTTTGGAAAATTATGGGGATGTCAACCAAGATTCTGAAAATGCGAATTCAATGAGAGTTTATTCTTGGAGATCGATAGTGAATGACAAAGGAGAAGCTAATGTGCCTATGTAACTGTCCGCGCTATCATAATTGCTTATGTTTTGATTTTCTCATCAGTTATAATCACTGTTAACTTCTTTTTCTTCTCCTCCATAGGGATGATGCCACAAACCCTGGATTTTGGTCACGGGTTTGCATACAAAATATGGCGAAGTTAGCCAAGGAGGGTACAACAGTTAGACGTGTTCTGGAATCCTTGTTCCGCTATTTTGATAATGCCAATCTCTGGTCTCCAGAACATGGACTTGCTCTTTCTGTCCTGCTTAACATGCAGTCTATAATTGAAAATTCTGGTATTTATTTTCTGGAGTGCTCTAACATTAGATTTCTATCGAAGTTTATTTTCCCTGTCTTAACAGTTTATAATTGGATTTGCTGTAATTTACAGGACAGAATACACACTTGTTACTCTCCATTTTAGTCAAGCACCTTGATCACAAGAATGTCTTAAAGAATCCTAATATGCAGCTTGACATTGTTGGTGTTATTACCCATCTTGCTCAACAAACAAGAGTTCAACAATCTGTGGCTATAATTGGTGCATTGAGTGATATGATGAGACACCTGCGGAAAAGCATACATTGCTCTATTGATGATTCAAATCTAGGGTCCGAAATAATACAATGGAACCAAAAATACCGACTGGAAGTAGATGAATGCCTTGTACAATTAACAATCAAGGTGACAACAAATTCCCCACTATTGAAGATGATTTTAGTTAACTGTGTAACAAATTGGAGAAGCATATACATCTGTATGCACATTTGATGTGAAAGTTGGATGTTTAATTTTTAAAGATCTAATGTTCTTTTGTTCTTACTGACTATAATGTTTTGCAGATTGCAGATGCAGGTCCTGTTATTGATACCATGGCTGTGTTGTTGGAAAACATGTCTAATATTACTGTTATGGCCAGAACCTTGATTGCTGCAGTCTACAGAACTGCTCAAATAGTTGCTTCAATACCAAATTTGTCATATCAGAACAAGGCAAGATTAGTTAAATTGCTTGCTAGGCTACTATGATTGTAATATTTCCGTGCTTTTTTCTGACTTTTCTTTGTCCTTTTCTGTTTGTTTGCAAATTTCAAACTCGACTCTATAGGCATTCCCTGAGGCATTATTTCATCAGTTACTCCTGGCAATGGTCCATGCAGACCATGAAACCAGGGTGGGTGCACACCGCATATTTTCTGTTGTTCTTGTGCCATCTTCAGTTTGTCCTCAACCTTCTTCTTCAGATCCCCCCATAACAAAGGCAGCTGATATTCAAAGAATGCTCTCAAGAAATGTCTCCGTGTTTTCTTCTTCCGCTGCACTCTTTGAGAAATTGGAAAGGAAGCAAAATTCCTTGCCAGAAGATAATAGTAATACCGATGGAAAGGTCAATGATAACACCATTTTGAACCGATTGAAGTCAACTTATAGTCGGACTGCTAGTAAAAGAAAATCTGGTATTGGCAGTACTGAATATCTGGAAAACAGGAACTCAAAGAATAGTAATTCTTCTGTGATGAATAGATTGAAGTCTAGTTACACCCGTGTTACTAGCGTGAGGAAGCCCCAAATAACCACAACTGGGGAAGAAAATATTACAAATACTTCCAATACTACCGATAAACAACAGGTATATATACTTACACTTTTTCATTTTTACATTTTGGTAATAATAAAAGAACTCGTCAAAATCCAACACCACCAGATGCTACCAGTCTTCTTATGGCTACTATGTCACAGGTATTACCCATTAGGCTAAGTAGTCATCAGATTACCCTTTTGCTATCATCAATCTGGGCCCAGTCCATCTATCCTCTAAACACACCACAAAATTTTGAAGCAATTGCTCATACCTACAGCCTTGTCTTGCTAGTTGCTCGGAGTAAGGTAATATACTCACTTTTTGTCATTTTAATATCTATATGTAGACTAGAAACAAATTGTTGATATCAATTCACCTTGCTTAGTCAGCATTTTTGTTTGGCGTTTTGTATATCTTGTTCAAACCAAATTGTGGTGCCGGTAATGACAAACGAAGCTGAAGCTAACACGTGACATGTTTTTGACACATTCTTTGCTTCTTATGAATAATGAGAAAATCGAATATACTCGTCATGAACAAGTGGCAGGTTCAGAACTGCATACATAAAACAAGTGGCAACTTCGTGCGCCATCTCTTTAAATTACTTTTAAAAAATTCCCTGTATAAGCTTATTAATCAATTTTAAATATAAATATTTAGTTGGATTATTATTTTTTAACAAAAAGCTTCTTTATTGACTTTTTTGGCTAATGCAATTGTTTCATTATTGATTAATTCACTTTATTTGAGAGTGATACATCCATCTATTTGAGCGTTTAATGGTGGTATAGTTAACTGTCATTTTATGTTAGTTTCTTCCCATATTAGAATAATATATTGATAATATCTTCACAGTGATCTTGTGTTGTGTTACACTTACGGGTTATTATTCTGTACAATATCTTTCACCTGGATTTATCTTTTCATGATTTATAGGTTAGTTTTCTTTTAGTTGGAACTTGGTATACTTTTTAACAAATTGATGAAGTGATGAAAAATAACTCTAAATATGCTTTTCAATTTCAAGCGTACCAGTTTTTTTTTTTTTTTTTTTAAGTTCTCTTCTAAATATTTTCTCGATAATGTAGTCCTAAAAATTAGAAGAAAAAAAACTTACCTCATGTTATTCCAAGATTACACTCAAACTCATGACTTCCACATATTTGCATTAACATGAAGGCTATGTTAATGATCAAACTTGCAATTACATATTTTAATGCCAAGGCAGGAATTGCCATATTACCTTTATAATTTGGGAGTTACATGATTAAAATGTTCATGATCTATGCAAAATAATAATAATAATAATTAAAAAAAATAAAATGAAGCCGACTATTATAAAAGAGAAAAACATGGTTTCTAAAATTATATTCCACTTCATTGATTAACCTACTTCATAACAAAACTGATAAATGTAACTATAATTTTGTATAATAGTTATAGAAAAATACAATCTTAGAAGTTTGATTGGAAAAGGTTTAGTGACTAATTAAAACATAACTATAATCAATATAAAGAATTCTATTTAAGTTATAAAATCTTTGTGATAATGTTCAAACATTCACCAGTAACCATGAGTACTGTATTTTAACTGTTCTTTTGTTTAATTTATATGCTGCTCACTAGTTACCTCAATATCCCTAGTGTATGTTACTCCATCTCCATTTCTTTTTAGTGTGATGGTTAATCGTCACCAACATCGGGTGATAAAATAGCAATGTGGTCCAACACAGCATCTTGATTTGGAAGTTAAAATTGATTAGATATTAAATTTGCTGGATGGTCCCTTATTTATTTATTTATTTTGTTTATCATTTTATGATAAATGTAACCATCTCAGATAGAGAAATATTTGATGAAGTAATTTATATATGATTTTGAGAACTTCAATTAATTTGTCAAAGTTTAATTATATTGGTCTTAATGTTCTAACGACTTCTGGTATTGGTCATGGAAGTACTTTTACACCTTTACTAATTGTTCAGATTTATTTTATCAATGCTTCACAATCAAGTCTGTAGTAATCATGGGGTTTTAGTTCTGTAATTGAATATTCTTTGAACTTTTTGAGGCACAAGTTTATTTTTAAGTATAGCTTTTATTTTATCCTCATATCTTGTAAGTTTTGTCTCCTACAGAATTCCTCTGACGAAGCTCTAACTCAAAGTTTTCAGTTGGCTTTTTCCCTGAGGAGCATTTCTCTCAATGAAAACGGTAGAGCCTTGATTCTCATATTATTTAATGTTTCTGTTACTATATTTGCATATTCTTGTCTTTCCTAAGAATGAGAGTTCAAGCTCAATTTGAGCAATGCACGCTATGATGGATGGATATCTTAAGATCTCATCTTTAGAATTGTGTGATTTCTTTCCCAATCTTCATTTCTAAAAGAAGGTTTGGTACTCAAGATTGGAGGAATTCCATTCCTGCCTCTATTATGCAGGAATTGCATTTCCTTAATTTGTATGTAGAGAAGACATGGAATGACAATTCCATTTCAATCGTTGATTCTGCAAAGACAGAGATGATCTTTCATTCCTTGTGAGGTGGGAATGATCATTCCTTGCAGATATGAATGATTTACTGTTTGTTTTATGGTTCCGTTCTAGATTGTTTCCAAATATACCAGAAGTACTATAAACTCACATGCTAATTAAAGTCATCTCTGACTTTTCCTAATTGAACCAATAGTAGAAACTCAATTTGTTTCTCACAATTGTTTAATATTATCATTTTAATTAAATCTTTAAGTTAAAGGAGGCTTCATGAATAACTAATACGGGAACAAAGTTTCTACCAACAATTCCATTTCGTTGCACTCTAATCAAAAGAGAACTGTCTTTATGAATGAACTAGTAGGAAAAGAGGCACTTCGTGCTTCTATATATATATATATATATTTTTTTTTTTTAAATTTGAAAGAATTTTTTTTTTTATAAATCTAAAGGTAATAGAGTCTGGTACAAAAATGAAATTTTATTTTTGAAAAAAGTTTGAAAAAATAAATTTTATTAAATCTAAGGATAATAGAGTCAAATATAAAATGGAAACAAAAAAATGGTTATCAAAATCTATTTCCTTTATAATAGGTATAGAAAATTATCTAGAACTTACTTCATTTTTCCCACGGTCTAAACATGTAACTGACTAGATTAGTTTTATGACTAAACTAATAATAAAAAGGCACTCCGTACTTTCGGAAAAAAAATTAGTGTTTAAAAAAAAAAGTGGGTAGTTATTAATTTTAAAGAGGTAGTTATTTTTTGTATATATAATTTTCCTATTTTATCCTTATATATAAATTAGCAAGAAAAAAATAAAATGAAACATAAGGGTATAATTGTCTTTAGAAAAGTGAACACACAAAAAAAATAATTCCCTTTATATATTGTTATAGATTATAAATTACTAGAATAGTTACATGATGGTGATTAGTGTTTTGAATTTATTTGGTGGAGCACGGAAGGCCTAAATTTTTATATGGATTCATATGCAATTCCATCATCTGTATTTTATTATATGTTGTGATTATAATTTTGACGCATGACATATATTTTATTTATTGCATACGTTCTCATATTTGATTTTTGTGTTGCTTTTTGACAAAATAGTTTAAAGTTGCAAAGTGTAGTTAAGGTGCCTAGTTCTGAAATACCTTTTATCTTTTCAGTAAAACTGCAACCATCACGCCGCAGATCTCTCTTTACACTAGCAACATCCATGATTATCTTCGCATCCAAGGCCTACAACGTCCTCTCTCTCATTTCTATTGCTAAAATGGCATTGGCAGATAAAACAGTATGTATATCTTGTTCCATACAAGGTTTTTCATTGAAGTTGTTCTATTTTCCTTACTTTCCCCACTTTCTGTTATTGCTTGCTAATGCATTAATTACTTACTAAATTGAATATGCTTCTTTCTATTTCTTTTAGGTATTTGTTGTGAAAATGGCTATTCGTTATATCTCTAAGAATTTTTTGTGCTTTTAGGTTGATACATTCTTGCAACAGGTTAATGATAGCAAGTTACAATTTTTGTGCTTTTAGGCTGATCCATTCCTGCAACTGGTTAATGATAGCAAGTTACAAGCGGTGACTGATACAGTTAGGCTGCCAAGTAATGCTTATGGATCAAAAGAGGATGATGAAGATGCTTTAAAGTCACTTTCAGCAGTAAATTTAACTGAGAGTCAGTCTAAAGAATCATTTGCTACCATGATAGTGCAGAGTCTGGGAAAATCGTCAAAAGTAATGACTAGATATGATGTAATGCTACACCAGCGTATCAGAACCAGTGAACTAACCTTTAGTCCTTTCTATGTAGGAATCATCCATGTTAAAAGAACAGCTGCTCAATGAGTTTTCACCTGATGATGCCTGTCCGTTGGGAACCCAGTTATCCGCTGAGACAACAGGAAATATGTACGAGTCCGGACTAAAAGATGATAAACTTCCTGATATGGTAACTTGCACAGCTCTGCTATTGCTTTTTAAAAAAAAAATTAAAAACTATTTTCTTTTATTTTAGCCTTCAATTCATAGCTTACTCCTTGAAATAATGCAGGTCGATATTTCATTATTTACTATTGATGATGACATTCCCGCTTCTGGTTTGGAGAGCCAAGATAATTCTGATGCACAGCAACAGCCCTCACAAAATCTAAGCCTGCTGAGTGTTGATGACATATTGGGTTCAGTAAGTTCTTGTCATTATACATACTTGTAACATGTTAAGTTTGAATTAAATTATAGGCAAAAATCACTTTTTTTTACCTTTTCAAAAACACTCTTAGATTTTGATTAATATTGTTTTGAACATAAAATAACTCAAAGCACAGATAACATCATACTTGTTAGATATAAACTATTCTTGGGCCTACACCTAACAAATTATGATTGGAGGTTGATCTAACTCGATATAATATTGTAGTTTAACGTGTATTGAATTATCATTTTTGTTTAACTTTTAAAATAGTTACTATAAAAATCAACAAATTTATCATATTAGTAATTGGATAACAATGTAAAAAGAGTTTTACACAACCATTGCATTTGTATCTTTTATTTATTATTATTATTATTATAAAAATGATAATTCCACCTGCGCAGGTTTCGGAGACAACACATCAAGTAGGAAGGATTTCTATTTCAACACCGTTTGACATGCCTTACAAGGAAATGGCTCTCCATTGTGAGAATCTCCTCGTGGGAAAGCAGCAGAAGTTGTCTACATTCATGGCTGCCAATTCAATACAAGGATGTTCATTTAGGATTCCTCTCCCTGAATACAACCAGGAAAAGGACGCTTCCTCAAATTCCAATGTTCAACTGACTTTACCTTCGGTACTTCTTTACTTCAACAAATTGTTCACTTTGAGATATTTGCTTGCATCTTCAAGCTGCTTATTTTTATGGGAGTGTTCAATTATGAATTATTAAATTCTACTAAACACTCACCCATTTATTGGATACCATCATGTTTGAAAAGCTTGAGTTATCCTGTTCCCTATAACCAAAAAAGCATCTTATTCCCCATTTCATTTGAATTGCAGAGTGGAAATCCATTCTTAGATACAAACTTCGACTCTACTTCACACAACACATTGCCTGGCACTGCTCCAATGCTTTGTGCGACAGCATACCAGCAGCATCAGCCTGCCTTCTTTCAACTACCAGCATCACGCCCTTATGATAATTTCTTGAAAGCAGCTGGTTGTTGATTCATGGCCGAAAAAGATGGTGATTCCCATAGTTGAGCTTCTTCATAGAACTGTCCTCACAATAGTTGATATAGAAGATGCTCGGAAAAGTTGCACTAGCTGCTTTCTTGACCGTGAATTGGCAACAATTGTGATGGTTGGATCAGTGTGTTTTTCAGGGCCAACAATTATCAATCAGAGTGTCCACTAAATTATATCTTTTCATTCATTTGCTTCATGCAAGGAGGTTTATCTTTTATTGACCTCCTTGCAGAAGTTTTATATGAGCATAGGTTTCCGGTCTTGCAAATGTGTTCGTCATTATTTTTCCCTTTTTCCTTTTTCTTTCCTTCCTTCATTGTTCTTTAACTCCTCATACTATTTTTGGGGTGTGAGAATTTTGTAAAGACAATTCTTTTTGATGGAGATTCCAATCTGCAAATGGATCAAACCAAACAACATGGAAGGATTGCTATGACGTTTGAACTTGACCATTCCATGAATCAGTTTTGATCCTGGAAGGAAGCGTTGAGATGAGAGGATGTAATGGTATAGCAGTCTTGCTTTGGTTTACGTAGAGAACTTGAATGGTAAAGTGAGTCAAACTACTTATGTAAGAGAATGCCATTGCCAAACCATTCTCTATTCTCATGTTCATAGATATTCTTTAAAAATTCTGATGTTCCTACAATTTATATATATATAATATATTAAAAAAAAGCAAAAAACTTATTGGTGTACTTCTAAATCCTGTCGATAGGAACTTGCTTAAATTTCAATATGTTTACCTCTTAGAGATGACCAAGATATATCACATTTGAATAACCGCGAGTTTTATTAGTTTGAGGTTGGGGTGGCAAAACGGGTCAACTCGGCTTATTTTGGCCTGGTTCAGCTTGTCAATGGTTTGTCAGAAACAGGTTGGACCGGGCTCTCCCGCCATTGAAAAACGGGTTAGGAATGTTAGCCCACCCTGCCTAAGGGTAGACTGGCAGGTTGGCGGGCCAGCCCGCATATCACTAAAAAAATTGTAAAAAAAAGATATCTTATGTTCAAATAAAAAAATTGTTATGAATAAATAAATATAATTACATGAAATTGAAAATGTTTGTGCATAATATATGTTTAACAAAAATAAATTACAAAATTTGAACAAAATCAAATAAAAGTTAGTCCACTTACAACAAAATTAAAACCAAATTACAAACTTACAAATTACTAATAATCTAAATTTTCTAATAATTCACAAATGAAGTCCAATTACTTATGCGGGCTAGTGAAGCCCAATTACTTATGCGGGCTAGTGAAGCCCAATTACTTATGTGAGCTGGCAAGTTGTGACGAGTCAACTCGCCATTTGGCCCGATCGGTTAGCGGGTTGAAATAATGAGCCCGACCAACACAATTTTTGGTGGACCCGTGACCATGACCCATTTTGTCACCCCTAATTTGAGACAACAATATAGACTGCCCCTGTTTTTAACTTTTGGATATAAATTTAGAATGATTAATGACTAACTTCATGAATGGTAAAATCAACCTAGACCTTGCGAGTATCCGTAAAAATCCTCGCATGCGAACGGATAAATACTCGCTTATATGGGATGGGTACGTGGTGAGTATAGACCCGTAAAATTTAATGGGTACAAGTATGGGTATGAACATTATGATATCCAACTTGTCTCACTCTGCAGTTTATATATATATATATATATATATATATATATATCTTA